GTGGGTTTAAATCCCTAAGCAAATGAGAACTATCAGTGAGTTGGAGTCTGAGGAAACGTTTTTGTGTAGCAATAAAATGAGAAAGGAATAAAGATAAATCAGTGTTCGACAATAAATCAATGCAGCATGAGGGATGAGATGAGCGCGGGTGGGGTCTGGGGGATGGGACTCAACGCGCAGATGACAGGCCATATGGAGTCGGCCTTTTTTTTTTGGACACAAATTGATGAACTAATACTTTCTAAGGGTTTACTGCGGTGTTAACAAAATATTTATTTCACGTGAAAACGTTTACGTCGAAGAATTAACTGTCAATGGAATCGTGGCGCACGATGACTTTATTTCTTAAAGGTGCTCGCGGTTTATTTGCCAATACGCATTCCATAAGAGCATTACATTTTTGTGTTGGGGTTAGAATGTAAAAACGTCCAATTTGAAATAGTTTTGTTGTTCTTCAGATTATAAACCAGTTTGAGAAGTCGTGCGCACGATTGCACGTTGACTTGTGCATCAAGAAATGAATAGAAAGAAAAAAGTGATTTAGAAATCACAACGATGAAATAAAACAAACACGTGCATCATGAAAAGTGCAGAAACTATTTTCCAAACGGCTCATGTTTAGTAACCCGACAGATGCCACCTCTTTCCACCAGAGTATAATCCTCTCTGAAGGGAAGGGAAAAGAGGAGCAAGACGGAGAGCTTCAGTGTGTGTGATAAACTGGGCTGCTCTCCTCCTCTCTGTCAGATCGCGCTCTGCATCACACCATTTCACATGATGACCGACTCTGCTTACGAGCACCGAAACCTTCAGCTCTGGCTATTTGCTTCCAACATGCCTTTTTCTGCTTTCTTTTTTTTTCGTTTATCTTGAAGAAATTTGAGTGATGCAACACTGTAAGCGGAAATGATTTATGTCGCATCCTACAGCATCAAGGTGCGCAAAAGGATGCGGAACATTTGATGGTTTTGGAAGAACGCTCTTCTGCACCGACTGCCTTGTGGACATTTCCCCAAACTGGATTTATGGACACTTATTATCTCGGGGGATAAAAACCTATTATTTATATCCTGCTTCGCAAGGTGTATTTGTGTAAGTTTTGATGAAATCGATGTGCATTGTTTTTACAAATTGTTAATGTCAACCAACTGCGTCTGTTTTACTAAAGCATGTTTTTTTTTCTTCTATCGCATATAACAGTTGACTGTAAATGCATTGAGGTGCCATTGTATCAAATGATGCCAGGCTATATTAATAGGTTCTTTGATTTTCAGACTGAATGGACGTCACTGAATGGATCGCCTAATTAAAATCCTATTTGCGGGGAATTTTCCTTTCTGTGCATGGTGCAAGGTTGGCTTTGACAAATGGTGCCCTCCACTTTTTTCCCAATATTTAGTTTACCCCCTCCTGATGCAGGTGCTTTCAACTGCCCCACCTTCTAACATATACCCCGCCCGACCCCCCACAAGAGACGGCGGTGTCTCTGGTTTAGTCCCACAGTTTCCCCCCTTCTCTCTTACTTCTGCTGCATTTTGCATGAGCCATCTAGGTCATTAGCATTTTAGCGTATACAAGACTTGACAAAGCTGGTGAGGAGCCAGATGGGCCCTCTACTATTTTTTTTTTAATATCTCATGGGAGTTGAGCAAGGGACCAAGTGCAGCAAGCCACTGAGAATGCCAAGAGAGATGGCAAATATCATCGATGATTGTTTTTATAACAGCACAGCGCTTACAGTCCGTGGTTTGCGATGCATGACAGTTCTTATTTTTCTTTCGGTCGGTTTTTGCGAGAGCGCGTGTGTGTGGAGGCGAGCCGACGCATTAATGCGGCCAAACTGATCTTTTAATATTTAATTGCGTTCTTCCATAATTTTGTGTTGCGCAAAAGAGCGTATCATTTAATAGCCTATTGTAAAGTGCCATTGTGCATTTACGAGTTTAAAACTCTAACAATTACCCTGAGGTCTGATGTAACGTGTTTTTGTCATTTACTGTCTATTTAGAGGACGATTAAAATCTAGAAATGGTCTCATTTGCAGATCTGTGTGGGGACACGATGTCTTCAGGAGAAGATGAAGAATAATGTGGATAGAAAAGTTGTGAGGCCTACGGTGACAACCAAATTAAACAGAACGCACTGATATCTTAAATTTCTGAACGTTCAGGACGACAGCAGTTGGTCCTCAAAATGACACTTTGTCATGTGTCCTCATAAGGGCACTGAAAATATTGAACGTACGTTTGTATTGTATTTATGATTATGAAAATAATTTTAGCTTGTCAATAAAGTCACATATTCACTAAGCAGACATTAATTTCTTTTTTTTCACGCAATATTTGCCACTTCATATTTCGATTAATCAGAACACTTTAATTAAGACATGATCTTTTTCATTATCTTCTAAAACTTTACAGTTCTATTTTCACTTTATTTTTTTGCAATGATTCTCAGTAATTAGGATGCAGGCCGCGAGCTTTTTAACCGTAGTTTAAGCAATATTTCATATCAAATTAAAAATCAAAATGACGTTCACAATTCACAAAATCCACACTTTATTTAGCGTCGAAAAGCTGTAAGCAAAAAGACACTACGGCCTGTAGAAGAATCATTTTTAAATCCTCTAAGAACTTTTTATCCTCTAGAAAAACTTTTGCATGTTTTAAAAAAAACTCAACTTGAAAAACACATCTGAAGAACATGCAACATCAAGAACGTTTTAAAGCCAACTTATACAGCAAACATGTTCTTAATGGTTATTTACTGAATTTATGAGGACCACATACGAGCCTTTATTTTCAAGAGAGCAGCTATAAACAACACGTTTATATTCCGGTATGAGATGATGGAAACTGAAGCGGATTTCGATTCAATATAAACGCACATTTCACAGGCGCCTTAAACATGCCATGAATTCCAGCAGTTGTCATAATATTTCATCTTCACCTCATATGATATGTTCATTTTTAGAGATAGGTCTGTACATCCAAATCAAAGTTTTATCCTTGTATTCTTTATACCCTGAGATGTTCATTTTTAGAGATAGGTCTGTACATCCAAATCAATCTTTCATCCTTGTATTCCTCATACCCTATTCAGTAACCGTGAACTTATTTTTCAAGGTCATTTAATGGTTGCTTTTGGAAATGAAGGCCTATAGGCTTTTGCCAATTCGCTTTTCTAATTAAATAGGCCAATTAAACGAAATTGTATTAGATAAACGCGCAAGATTATATTCGCCAATCAAAGATAGCAAAGAAAACATGTTGTGTCATAAATAATTTCTGTACCATATCAACTTCTGTACCAAACTAATTATAACGTCTTTCGTCCACGAGACTACTAGTCAAGGTTAACGTTATGTATAATTTCCGACAGATGTTTAAATGTTATTAATAAAACATATTTAACCTCAGTATAGAACGTGCAGGCCTTCTTCCTGTTCTAGAACTATAACGCTCCGTGCGTTTACAGATTAAGCGTTCAGGCAATTCAAGGCAATAAATGTGGACAATCAAGATATAATTTTATAAACCACGCGTGCATTACTAGAATGCCAAGGCTGGAGTTTTCATTTCAAACGTTTAAGAAAGAAATGCACACGCGCAGTTTGCGTGACATAAAGGGCCTCATAGCTACTGGAAGTGAATGATGTAACCTCGAAGCAGTGCTCTAATATGAGATATCGCAGTAGAGAAAAATGAAAAATTATACAAACACAGAATTTTCCGCCTTTTAGTAACATGCTGAGACTCGAACCGTGTGCGGCCTTGTCGAAAATGCTATATCCTTTAAAGGGTACTTAAGGACACTGCATAATGTCAGATCAACCTCATTAGGCAGAGGTGTAGCCTACATTAGCATATTTCATCAAAAGAATATTTAGGTCGCAGATTAAATTCAGCTGCCCCTGTATTTCAATCAGCGAGTTGGTACTTTTTGTAAATGTTGATTCTTGAAGGACTCGGGGACACAAAGTAAGTTATTTCAATGGGATTTGCATGAAAATCATTGGATTAGAAAAATAACATTCAAAATTGCAAATAAAAAAATGTTGGAAAACACTGACTGTTATGACCAAATACAGAGTTAACCTGTGTTAATTGTTATTTATTTAATGAGATGAGCAAAACTGACAGATATATTGGTCACAGAACACTACGTTTGTGACAAATGTTAACATTAACTTTGGTTTCTGTTAAGGGTGCAAATTATACCGTTTATTTAAAACACCTCAAGTTTTTAAAGAATTTTAAACATCTGCTAAAAGATTAAAATGTAAATACAAACGTAATTTTTCAGGTAATGTTAATTGTTATAGTAATATATAATAATCAGTGTTTCACGTAATCTGTCGAGGACCTTCAAATTGTCATTTCGCGCCACTATCAGTAAGATAAACGTCGCTCATCTAAAAAGCTTTTGTGATGTATTTATGTAAATCTATAATACATTAATGCATAATTACATTATTCCTGTAATGCTTTATCGTCATAACGCGTTTGCAAAAACAGCGTACTGTCGCTATGGTTACCTTCCATTCGTCAGCTTATGTTTGCCTGCAGGTGAAAATACGCGCTCTGACTTGTAATCTAACTTAATAAGACGTTTAAAAACACGTAGA